CGCTCGGGCTGGCCGGCCGGGCCCCAGGGCTGCCCCACCCTTGGCTGTTCGGTGTGAAAAATCCTGTGGGCAAAGGTCCAGATTCAGTTAGCAGTCAGGAGCCAGAAGGTCCAGCTTGCGGCCATGAGGGCACCGGCCCGGGGCTGTACCTGTTTGGTGTGAGGGAGGGCGCCGGGCCACCTTTCCAGACCCCTCGCAGGAAGGGCGCCCTGAGCTCACTCTGCTCCCCTGCACATGTCCACGGGACACCTCCAAGGTTCAGGAGCCCCGCTGAGTGGTGCCCATGGCTGAGGACGCAGAGGCCGCACCTCCCTGTGGGGCGCCCCGAGAGAGAGGTCCGGCCAGAGCCCCCCATGCAGCCAGCTCCGGCGGACCCCACTGCACCCCCGCCCAAGCCAGGCAGCGCCCGCCCTGCCCTGGCCTCCTCCAGTCCAGCCCTCGGAGCCTCGAGCCGAGTGGGGCACTTGCGGCTGCCGGCACCTGGGGTTACCCCGTTGCCCCGGCCCCCACTTCCGCTTGTCCCCCAGGGGTGCGCTTGCTGCCTCCCAGTGGTGATCTCTGCAGACCCGGCTGTGCCCTTTTCCGTGCTCTCGGGGCACCCACACCTCCTTCCAAGTTAGTGGCCGCTGCTGTCCCCCCAGATCCTGGGAGAGGCCTCCCCTGGGCGCCCTGTACCCCAGACCCGGCAGGGTGGGGGCTTGGCCATTTGCGGCCGAGGTCCGCGGAGCTGGGGCCCGCCCAGGCCTAGCCCCTGGGGGGGGACATGCCTGGCGCTGCCCGGGGGCAGGGCCGCGGAGCTGCGGGCGCGGGGGTTGGGGGGTGGGGGGTGTGGGAGGTGGGGGGGTGGGGGGGTGGGCCTCTGGCCGGGGCGGGGCAGCGCAGGCGCAGTGCCGCTGGACTCTCTCCTCCCGCCATGGAGCCCTGGGTCTGGGCTCTCCGCAGGCCCGGGGTTGTCGCGGGCCCACCGGCGGGTTCTCGGTCAGCCCGGAGCGCCCCCGCCGCCGCCCCTCCAGCGAGAAAGCCCCCCATCCCCGCGGCGTCCCTCCCTCGGGCCAACTTGTGATGAACCGGCAGCCTGCTTCTCCCCGGCGGCCCCCCACCGCCCCTGCGCCGGTTTCGGGGTGCACTGCCTGAGACGCAGGCCCGAAAGCAGCTCCTTAATCGGCACCATGACGTTCCCCTAAACGCGCGGTCGCAGGTCATCACCGAGGGCACCTGCCCTCGCCCGCCCGGGGTTCCCCAAATATCTCTGGCCGGAGAAGGTCCCTCACGCCGGGGAGCCGCGAAGAGGAGGGGAGCGGAGGGAGGTTCGGGCTCTAATTTGCACTTTCTGCTAATGAGGCGGCGGCGGCCCAGCCGGCCCCAAATTGGGCGGATTACCAGCGTTTTCCAGAGCCTTCCCCGGGTGCGCGTCCCCGGAGGCCGGCGTCGGAGCCCCGCCGAGGGGCTGCCTTCTTTTTACGGGAATTAATATTCTCGTCACTAAATGCACACAAAACATACGACAGTACCCCAGCTTTTCTCCTTTGTTAAAGACCTGCAAAGAGTCGCGGGGTTGAAAGACCGTGAATCTCGCGTCGGAGGAAGCGAAGGCGGGTTCTGCTGGCGGCGGAGCCGAGCGCAGTCTTGGCGGGGCGGGACCCTGGGGGACCCCAGCCCGCTCCCAGGCAGCCTGCGCTGCGTGTTTGCACGCGCCGAAGACAGCGCGGGGCTCGCTAAATAATTTACCAGTTGATTAATAGACTCACAGGGGTATAATTAGAGGAGGGAGAGACGCGGGCACAGTAACCACGCAGTGCTTGGGGGAACAGCGGCCTTTATTTTTTTAAAGAAACTTTCTAGGGTGCTGGGCGTTTGAAGATAAGTTCGGAAGAGCTCAGTGCCTCATCCCTTTTGAAGTGGAAATAGGACAGTTTGAATCCGTCGAGTTTAATTTTTCACAAGCTTTAGGGGCCCCGCAGTGCAAACTCCCTCTTTATTATTGAAAAAAAACTCGACATTTTTCTTTCATTTTTCTACACACACGCACGCACGCACACGCTGTCCAAGCAGTCAGTAATCAACACATTAATTTGCTTTTATTCGAGGTGCATTTCCCCCTTTGCCCCCCTCCAGGTGGCCCCCAGCCCTGTGCCCCCCCATCCAGAGCCCGCTGTGGGCTGCCCACGCGGACGACTGGAGGGCCCCCGTAATGTATGCATTTTAAAGGCACCCTCACCCCGGCTGACAATGCTTTTGAAGTAGCTCCTTTTTTCAAGTCAAACTTCCGACTTTTCCACTGGGACCGCTACAAAGATTTCCTTATGGAAAACAGGAGCGAGTCTCGCTGGCTGCCGCGGGAGAGAGCGGGGGCTGAGCCAGCCCGCAGAGCTCAGTGTCAGCGTGGGGGCCGCCTGAGGGCCGGAGGGGCCTGGAGCGAGCCCCTCGGATAAGGAGGTCGGCACCCCCTTGGCAACAGGTCCGCGCCCCCAGGGTCCGGCTCTGTGGCGCTCACAGCCGGCCTTTTATTAAAATGGTGCCAGGCTGAGGGTCCCCCCAGGGGGCAGTTTGCCCGATTCAGAGGGGAAACTGAGGCGAGGGCCTCTGTGTTTCCATTCCCTGCGGGGTCTCTGCTCCACAGGCTGGGGTCCGCCTAACCCTTTCGGCCCCGCAGGGGCACCCCGCCACGCCGCAAAGAGGGCCCCCAGACGCAGGCCTCGGGCCCCAGACACTGCTGGCGAGTCCGGGGGGCCCAGGAGCGCGAGGTGTCCTTCGTGCTCCGGCCAGACCTTCTGGAAGCGTCTCCTCCTCCACGGCGGCCCCGGCGGTTTCCAGCCCATTCAGCTGTGAAATCGGCTGCGACAGGCCAGCCCCGAGGCCCCCGCCTCCGCCTCTGGCGCGGTCTCCGGGCGCAGGCCCCCCCCGCAGGCAGCCGCAGCCGCTGCCCTTCCCTGGGAGAGTGTCCTCGGGGGCTCACACCAGCTGCTGCCTGCTCCTCCTGAGCGGGGCAGGGGGGCCCGCGCCCCACCCCCGACCTTCGCAGCCTCAGCCTGGGACCGGGTTGCTTCCAAGCACATCAAGGACGCGGGGCTGCCAGCTGGAGGGCGCCGGGCTGCGGGGTGGGGGGGCTTGGCACAGCTGCTCGAGCAGGGCAGCGCGGCCCACGCCCCAGCACTGCCCGTCTCTGTGCCCGGAGAAGGGGCAGAGGTGGGGGAAGAGGGGTGCGGGCAGCAGCACCCCCCCGCCCGTGCGTCCTCCCCCGCCCCGCGCCAGGTCGCACCGGCAGGGCTCGGCGATGTCTGAATAAATGAAGGGATGAGCGGGCACAGAGCGCCTGGCGCTGCCCGGCAGCCCTGCCCCGCACCTGGCCCGGGCGCGCCCCTCTGCCCTGCCTTGCTGCACAGGCGGCACCCCATTCCATTTGAGCGGCAGTGGAGAGCAGCTAACGGGGGCGCAGGTGCTTCCTCCCTGCGTGCCCTGGACCCGCCAGCGGCCACTCGGCGCCGCCCTTCCTCACCCGCGGCCCCTCCACTGTGGTGGCCCCCCCATTTGTTACTGGGGGGGTGTAGGAGCGGGCGTGGCCCTGCTGACTCGGTGGCCCGGCACACGCCTCTCGCACCCAGCGCCCCTCTGCTCCCCTGGCCTGCTGTGGTTCTGGGCGCCCGGGAGAAGGGTGACTGGTCGGCCGGCCACCGCCCCCCGGCGTTCAATCACCCACTGCAGCCACCCCACAACCTAGTGGCAGGAACTGGCCACGCTCATGAAGCTTGGATTTTGTGGACCGGGCCTCGGGCGGGGGCTGGCTCCCCTCCCCTGCCTCCAGGGGCTCAACAGCGCTGCTCTGTCCCCGTGGCAGCGGGGCCCCCTGTCTTCCCCCCGGGGGATGCTGCACCCCACTCTGTGCCTGGAGCAGCTGGCCGCCTCTGCAGGGCCGGCGGGGCCCCTCACGGCTGGCGGCCAGGCGGGTCTCGGAGCCCTCGGGGTGGAGGGGTCAGCTCAAGCCGCAGGCCCGGGGGGCGCGCGCCCACAGCCCGGCCGGTACAGCTGGGCAGAGCCTGCCTGGGGCTGTGCCTCGGTGTCCCTGTCCGTGGGTGGGGTTTGGGGAGCTCCCACACCGGAACTTCTAGGGTGGAATTCAGCAAGCTCAGCCGGCGCCGGGCGCTGCAAGCGCTGAACTGTGCCCGGGAAGGGGGCACGCTGCGGCCGCTTGCGCCCCAGGAGCCCGGGCCCTCCCCTGGCGGCGGCATTCAGTGACCTTGAGATGGGGCATCGCCTGGCCGGGGCTGAGAGGTTGCGAAAATGGAAGGAAATTGGGCCTCCATGGGGGCCCAGGGTGAGTCTCAGCACCGGGAAGCTGTCCACAGCCACTGTGGCCTGAGTGTGACCGGCCAGGGAGTGGCCACAGGGCACAGCTGCCGTCTCCCACTGCCCCCTCAGCGGTGGATTTCAGGGGATCCCCCTGCTCTGCTCCCCGCTCAGTCTCTGGGGAGCCTTCTCACTCTGGCCTGCACCCCAGCTCTTCTACATACACCCCAAAAAGGGAAAGAATGGACATCTTGTCCCGGGCAAGCTGTCCACGGCGCCGCGCTCCTGCACCCCACTCGGGAGCGGGAGCGGGAGGGGGAGGGGGAGGCTCCTCTCATCTCCAGCTCAGGCTTCAGAAATGCGGGTGCCGATGGCGCGCACTGGGGCGCAGGACCCCGCGCCGCCAGCAGGTGGCGGTAAATAACAAATAACGGCGCGCTGCCGGGCATGCCCATGGTGGGGGGGGGCCGGTGCTTCTAAGGCCAGGCGCTGCTCCCCGCCCAGAATCTGCACCCTCCACGTGGCCGTCTCCCAGAAGGGTGGCGCCGAGCCCCACCGAGCCTCAGCGAGGGCCCCCAGGCCAGCCCCGACCCTGGGCCACCGCCTCTGGGGAGTGGGCCTGACCCACGCCAGCAGGCCAGAGGCGGAAGCAGGAGCCAGCCCCGGCCCCCTGGCCTCCAGGGCCGTCCCCCCGGGATTGTCCCACGCCACTAGGCAGGTGACTTCCTTGACCTCAGGTGTCGAAGTTGCCGGGAGGGGCGGGCGCAGGCATGCGGGGTGTGTGGGGGTGCGCAGGTGGCGTGGGGTCCGGAGCGCGTGTGCTGTGGGGGCTACAGGTGAGCAGGTGTGCAGGACAGGTGCGTGCAGCTGTGTGTGAGGAGTGCTGTTAATGTGCGTCCGGGTGCAGTGTGGGGGTGGGGGTGGGGGTGGCGCTGCCCGCTGCCCGCTGGCCAGGAGGTTCCTGGCTGCCTGGGGCTTATCAACGGCCTTGGGCCCTTCACCTTTCAGCACCGGCTGAGGGCGCCATTTCCACTTCTCTACTTGGGCCTAGCTGTTTTGGGCGACTGTGCCCCAGTGTGTCGCTCCTGGCTGCAGCCTGGTCAGGGCTCTGGGGGCTGCCTGGGGTGGCCTGGGGGTAGCAGGAGGGGCTGAGGCCAGGCCGGGCCGGCTCCTGCCACTGAGGCCCCGTTTCCTCTGGAGAGTCTGGACTGGGCTTCGGCCCCCAGCTGTCCCCCGGCCCTTAGGATGGCACAGACCTACATCCAGGAAGCGGCTGGCCTGCACTTTATTCTGCCCACCACGGCAGCCACGGTGCGGGAGGCGCTTGACGTGGCTCCAGCCTCTCCACCGCCCACCCCCCCGCCAGATCTTCATGACCTCGAGGTCAGAGGGGCCATCTCTGACAGCAGATCTCAAGACAAGGCCAAAAACCGCCCAGAGCCACGGGCACGGCCTGTGAAATTCCGGCAGGCCTTACCTCTCGCTTTGCTAGATTCAGGGCTGCCAGGCGGCCCCTGCTGGCAGCTCCTGCGGGTAAGCGTTAGCCGTCAAGCCCAGAAATCAGGCCCGAGGCGCCCGCGGCTTTCGAAGTCCCGAGAGCAGAAGGGCGAGTGGACAGCTCTGTCAGGAGAGGGCTGGCTCAGGTGGGAGAGGCTCTGGCCCGCGGGGGCTGCCTCGGCTGCCGGTTCAGGCGCGTGGCGCTGGGGCAGTGCAGTGGCGAGAGTCTGCGGGGAGCCCGCAGCTGACGGCCTGAGTCAGGAACCTGGTGGGGAGGGGCGCCCCAGGCAGCCACCCCAATCCTCGCGCCAGGCGCCCTCCTTCCCAAGCGAAGGAGCACCCCAGGTTCTGCAGGGCTTCCCGGGCCCCTTCATGTCCTCCTGATGGGGACACGGCCTCTCTCCCCTCTGCTGGGAGGGCCCTGGAGCCCCCTCAACACTGACTGGGGGGCAGAAAGGTGGCCGGGGCCAGGGCTGGCAGTGTCCCTGTGAGTCAACCCCCAGGCATATCTGGGCAGGTGCCCATGCAGCCAGGCTCTGGGCAGAGCTCACGGGGCACTGGCGTTACAGAAGCGCCAAAGCTACCTCTGGCACCCCAGAGAGAGAGCCATGGATGGGGTGCAGCTCGGGACATTCGCTGTGGGGTGGTGTCACTGTGGGGTGGTGCTCAGTGGCGGTTCAACCTCCTCTGGCCACTGAATTAGAGGCACTAAAGATGTCAAAAAAAGGCAGAGACAAGAATAATGAAGCTGTGGCCACTGCAAGGCCCTCCCTGCAGGGTTACTTTGGGGCAAATACGGCCTCAAATCAGCCTCCTCTCTGCCTCCCTGGCACGGAGGGGTCCTTACTTGTTGCCCCCCCGCCAGGGGGTGCTGGGAAGAGAAGTCCCTTAGCTCTCCACACACACAGCCCTGAAGCCAGGCCGCCACCCCCACATTGGGAGTAGAGCCGCTCACCCTCTCACTCACTCTCACTTCCTCACTCATGCTCACTCACCCACCCTCCCTTTCTCACTCACCCACTTTCACTTTCTCACCGCCATTCACCCATTCTCACTTTCTCACTCACCTCTCTCACTTTCTACTCATCTCACTTTCTCATTCACTCTCACCTACACTTTCACTTTCTCACTCTCACCCACGCTCACTCTCACTTTCTCACTCACTGTCACCTACACTCTCACTTTCTCACTCTCATGTACTCACTCTTACTTTCTCACCTACGCTCACTCTCACTTTCTCACTCACTCACCTACTCTCACTCTCACTTTCTCACTCACTCTCACCTACTCTCACTCACTCACTCACTCACTCACTCTCACTTTCCCCCTTCCCATGCATTTTTTCCTTCAGTGGGCCTGTGCAGGGCAGGCATGGTGCAGGCTGGGCATTACGATGAGCTGACTTTACAGGGGTCCCTGCTTCAGGATACACGGGGTGAGGGAGTTAAACAAGCAGCAATTACCCAGTTGCGTGTGCTCAGTTTTCCCAGGGAGACGCTCGCTCTTCAGTCTCTGTCTGCTGACTCCAGAAAGGATGGCTGTTGAGTTAGGGGCCGGAGCCCAGTGGGACACGAGACCTCCCTTGCGTGGAGCCCCTCTGCCTGCCGGCTGGGCCACGCTCGCTGGACCCACTGCGTCCTGTGTGGTTCATCGCACCGAGTGTGTGTGTGTGTGTGTCTGTCTGCATGCACGGGTGCGCAAACCAGACCCTGACGCCCACGTCGCTCATGCGCCCGCCTCTCCCACTTGGCACTGCCCGGCCTCTTCCCAGGCGCAGGAAGTATGCCGTCGAGGGTGTCGGCCTGCGTGCGCCAGTGGCCGGGGGACAGCCCAGCCAAGACCCGGGATGGACACCTTTGTCCTACGAGCTGTAGGTTCTTCGTGCTAGGTCTGCTGCTTAAGACACATCCAGGCCACAGTGCTGTAAGGGTTGGGGGGAAGGGGCCGGAATATTTTTTTTTTTTTTTAAAGACATCTGTTTTCACTTCTGATGCAACACAGGAAATTCGCTCCAGAAATCTTGGCCAAGTTGGCAGCAACAACCAGACCGAGACTGTCTCCGCCTCCTCTTCTCCCAGAGTCGGCTCTGCCGAGCCAGCAGTGGGCTGGGAGGGTCTCCTTAGTCACTGCCTTTGGGGCCCGCTTTCTCAGCACTGAAAGGAGGGAGGCCAGCGGCTGACCTGCCAGGCCCTTCCCCCACACGGCCGAGAGGCTCCCTCCCCACCCGCAGCCCTGCGCCGG